AGCGAGCCGCCGCTGAAGAGGCAGGGAACGGCCGTGTGGCGCCCGGCGCCGCCGTACTCCTCCGCCGCGCGAACCTTGTACGCAAACTGCGTAAACGCCGCACCACAGGTCATTGGGGGAGGGGAGGGGGGGGAGCTACGCAAACTCCGTAACGTGAAAGCTGCCGGCTACGCAGCGCCGCGAGAGCTCCGCAGAAGCAGCGCGGGAAACGGGGAGGAGCGACCTGAAGCGCTGTCCTGCGCAAGCGTCGTACGTCAGGGGCGGTGTTCCACCAATGACGTAGCAAGACCATAGAGAGCGCCGCCACAGGCACCGGCCCGCTGCTGACCCCTAGCGTCAGCTCCCTGAGCTTGCCCTGCAGAAGGGAAACCCCCAGAAGTTGGTCCCAATAAAGATATTAAGTCCCCCAGTTTGTCTCTCTAATCATGTTCCTGCAGGAGAAGATCTATGAGCGGGAGAGAGAAGAGGAACCATAGGCTCAGAGTAATTAACAGTACAGTTGTGACTAGGAGTTTAATTACAAAGAGGCTTCCCAAACCTTCAACATATTAAACACCAGGGCTGTCTACGTTGGCATCCTTTCAAGTAGGAATAAGGGATCTTCTGGAAAAGGGTTTATTTTCCACACTATCGCGTCTAGACTGGTGCTTTTCTCCGGCAAAACCCCGAGCTGGAAAAAAGCAGCAGCCATGTTCATGCAAATGCCACGGGGGATATTTAAATCCCTGCAGAATTTGCAATTCCGGAGTGTCTCATTAGCATCCCTTTTCCGGAAAAGGGTGCCAATGAAGACGTAACCCAGGGCTGTGTCTAGACTGGCAAGTTTTTCCGCAAAAAGCTGTCTACACTGGCCACTTGAATTTCCGCAAGAACACTGACTTCCTACTGTCTGAAATCAGTGCTTCTTGCAAAAATACTATGCTGCTCCCGTTCGGGCAAAAGTGCTTTTGCACAAAGCTTTTGCGCAAAAGGGCAGTGTAGACAGCTCAGATTTGTTTTGCGCAAAAAAGCCCTCATCGTGAAAATGGCGATCGGGGCTTTTTTGCAGAAAAGTGCGTCTAGATTGGCACGGACGCTTTTCCGCAAAAAGTGCTTTTTTGGAAAAGTGTCCGTTGCAATCTAGACGCGCTTTTCCGCAAATGCTTTTAATGGAAAACTTTTCCGTTAAAAGCATTTGCGGAAAATCATGCCAGTTTACGCGTAGCCCAGGACTGTGCCTCACCCATTGTCATACAGGCCTTGCCAGCGTGACTCCAGGTCCTAGGATATGACTGGTTCAAAAATCCTGGAACCTGCTTTCACAGTGACACAAGAAGCTCCTCCAGGGCAGCAGAAGACAAGGAGTGTCAGGGAAGTGCTGCCCAGGCTTAGGGCGGTGAGGTTGTATCTACATGGCACCGTAACTCAAAATAAGATACGCAATTTGAGCTACGCAAAATGCATATCTTATTTCCATGCTATTTCAGAATACAGCATGATTCCGAAACGTCCCTTACTCCTGGTAGAAAGAGGTTTATAGGAACGTCAGAATAGTGAGCCTATGAACATACCAGGCTTTCTGTGAAGATGCGGAATAGCTATTTTGGGATACTCCGCTATCCCAAAATAGCGTTGCAGTGTAGATGTAGCTTGAGTGGGGGCCTGGGGAAGTGCTGCTGAGCCCTGGACAGACCATGATTTTTGATCCCTTGAAATGGACAATACAGGTGACCCCTAATGTACGACCTCCCGACTCAGGACACCTCGCATAGACGACTGCCCTGCTCCAGCCCTGCTCCTGCACAGTGAGCCACAGAGTCAGCCAGTTGCCCACAGCCCTGACGGGCACTGGGCACAACTCACACCACGCCACTGGCTCCAGGACACGTGAAGCCGCCTCCACCCGGACAGCTCTGGGAGCAGCTTGCAAGCTTGCACAGTGCTGTCTCCACACAGCATAGCCCCCAGCTGGCTCTAGGAGCAGCTCGCACCGTGCTGCCTCCACCCAACATAGTCCTTGGCACTGGCTCTGGGACATGTGGAGCCACCTCCACTTGGCACAACCCCTGGCTGTCTCTGGGCCTGGCGTGCTGGGGACTACAACTCAGGAACCGGCCCCCCCCCCCCATTTATATCATTGTGCCTCTGGGAAATAAGGGTTCGACTTACAACAGCTCAACTTACGATGGTTCGCCAGGAACCAATTAGGTTGTAAATATGAGAGTCGCCTGTACTGCAAACATCCCTTTTTTTCCAGGCCCTGTTGGTTGTTTGATCCTGATTTTTGTATCTACCCACTGGCAAACTGGCTACCTAAAAGAGCCACTGAGCAGCTAAGCTAGCAACTCTGGGGCCCTTCCACTAGGATTCTCATGTGTGGGAATCTTGCTGCTGTCTCCATTTCCAAGCCCCCAGTGCTCTGCAATCAATTCCTAGAGCCATCCCTCTCCCACACACATAGCTAATCCATTGGAATACTAGCAAAAGTGGCGGGGCAGGAGGAGGCTGCCGTGCTGTGAAGGAAAAACTGCATTTCACCCTCTGATGCAGACTTCCTTGAGACTGACCAAACTACACCCTTAGTTACGCCCCATGGCAGATGCCCTGGGTTTCAGTTTGCAGATCTGGGAGGCAGGAGTAGCTTGGTGATCTCAGCAGCAACACAATGATACAGAAGTGATTCCCTGTGCTCCTTATCCTACTCTTCCTTTTTCACCTTGTGCAATATTCTGCACCAGCAGTGTGGGGGGAATCAAGCTTTTTGTGCATGTAAAGCACATGGGTGTTATGTCATCTGTTAGTGGCTGGCCCACAGGAAGGACAAGGGCCTTACTTTTACAGCTAGCAAGGGGAGATGTCCTTGAATAGACAGGTCTGTGTTTTTGGAGAAGACCTTGAGCCTTGTTCAGCTGAACTGGTATGTGTGATTTGTCTTGCACTGGTGTGGTGGTGCTTGCTAAAGGTGGATTCGTTACAAGCTTCCACCCAGTTTAATAAATGCGTGGTGCAAAACTCATTGGGATCACAAATATACTTTGCACAATATTATCTCAAAAACTCCCTGGGATGAAAAAGGTGTCCAAAAAAGATGTACAATGTCTGCCTCCAGCCAGGGATGGATATAGGGCAGGGCGAACGGGGCAGCCACCCCAGGCCCCGCGCTTCAGAAAGCCCCGCGCATGCGCCGTGGCAAAGGGGGGCCCCCGCGGAATTATGCTGCCTGGGGCCCCGCAAAACAGTCATCTGCCCCTGCCTCCAGCTTTGACTTCTCAGGCCAGCTAATGAGAGGAAAATAGCTTCAGTCTTTGAAAAGGGAACAAAACCATATTTTTAAGTCACTGGAATAAAAACAAAATAAATTCTGTTCCTTGTTTTCTCTTGGGTTTTTTAAAATAATATTTTATTGTAATATAATATCCCCCAACTCATCTTAGGGATGCTTGAAAAATGAAGACATACTAAATGTCGTAGCTTCTTCAAACTCATTTGAGAAGAATTCTTTGAGTACTGAGGGAGAGAAACTATGCCCAGAATATCTTTGTACAGGGGTGGATTGTGGGGTCATGGATCAGAACAAGTGGGGGCGTCTTCCACCTGTACTTGGAAGCCCCTGTACCTCAACCCTGTTCCCCAGCAGGAACGTCAGGTGGGTGGGTGGGTGCCCATTTTTCCAGGGGTCCTCCAACTGACCAGGGCGACTGGGCACAGGCCCCATTATTCCACTGGTTAATCTACCCCTGTCTTCACAATATAGAATACATGAACCCATCCTTGTTTGTGCTATCAGCAGGTTTTCTTTTAAACAGCATCTAGTAAGTTCTTCAATCTATTTTTCAACACAAGCACACATAGGAACACCTGTTACACTATTTCAAACTATATAGAGTAGGTTTTGGCCTTACTCCGACATGGTTCTGTAACTTTGCCACATGGTCTTATTTTGGGCCTAATCCAAAACCCACTGAACTCAACTGGAAACTTCCCAGTAACTCAGATGAACACTGGAGCATGTCTCAGGTATGTGTTATATGAAACAGTATCAAATTACATTGGGGTATTACATAAGAACATAAGACCGGCCATACTGAGTCAGACCAAAGGTCCATCTAGCTCAGTATCCTGTCTGCCGAAACTGGCCAATGCCTGATGCCCCAGAGGGAGTGAACAGAACAGGGAATCTTCAAGTAATCCCTCTCCTGTAACCATTCCCAGCCTCTGACAGAGGCTAGGGACACCATTCCTATCCATCCTGGCTAATATCCATTGATGGACCTAACCTCCATGAATTTATCTAGTTCTTTCTTGGACCCTGTTAAAGTCCTGGTCTTCACAACCTCCTCTGGCAAGGAGTTCCACAGGCCAACCGTGCGCTGAGTGAAGAAAAACTTCCTTTTGTTTGTTTTAAACCTGCTACTTATTAATGTCATATGGTGACCCCTAATTCTTATATTGTGGGTACAAGTAAATAACTTTGCCTTATTCACTTTTTCCCTACCAGTTACGATTTTATAGACTTACAAGCTGGTTCCCCCCAGCACCGTCTCTGCGGGGATGGAGGGGGGGAGGGCGGGGAGGCAGAGGCGCAGTGGTGGAAATGGTGTGAGCAGGGCCTGAAGCAGTCTCCACTCACCTGGGGTCCCGACTGCTGCGCCTCATCCTTTGAAATGTACAAGAGCCTGCAGTGGCTCTTGTACATTTCAAAGGCAGAGGTGCAGCAGGATAGCAAGTGCCCCCCTTATTGACTAATCAAGTAGTCAATGGAAATTCCATCGACTATTCGATTAGCCAATTAATCGAAATTTAACATCCCTCAAGGGACAGCACCCCTTTGTACCTGACACAGTGAGGAGTCACCCTGAGTTGAGGCGACAAGTGCCAAGAAAAGACCCAAGACGTGACCCACTCAAGGAGAGAGGAGAAGCTGCTCCAAATGCTGGCAACAACAAGCACCTGGGAGAGAAAAGGAAGGAAGGAAGCTTAAGCCAAACATCAGGGAGGGGGTCACATTCATGTTTTGTCCATTTATTGCCAGTGTCACAGATCGGACTTGTTTTGAAGCTTGCTTCACCCTGTGGCTGGCTCGTTGTTCATCTGTGTATTTTGCTTCCCTGTTTCTTTGCAGTTTGTGCTCGGAGTGACTGATAATGCCTTTTATTTCAAG